CATAAAAAATAAAAATAAAAATAAAAATGATTTCTTCAAGAAATTGCTAAAACAACACTTTACAATTTTTGAGGGATTTTTAATCTTTATGGGAGCTGCGGCAAAAATGGACACAAGCTGGCTAACTAAAGTCAACCTCATAAAGGGAGGGTCATTAGGCCCATTTACTCACAACAAACCGATTAAACATGGGCTTTGGTCCACAATACGTAAGAACCCAAGAGCACCATTAATTTGGGTTTTTTTTTTTTTTAACATTGAAAAATTGGGGAAAGAAAATTATATTTATAAGGATTTGAGTTATGGTAGTATCCATAATTTAAGGTGCACCCTATATTAATTTATTAGAAAAATCACACATAACCTACTTGTAGTTTAAGATGAGTGTATTTAAAAGCTTGTAGTATTGAAATGTAATGTACACTTAAAGACTTGTGTTTTAAACCTTGAGCACTAAATCACTCTTGTCATTCAAATGATGTTAAAATTATGTGCAATATCTTAAATACTCTTAACCTAAAAAATTTTTTTAAAAAAAAAGAGTGAAAAAGCTCAACCGACGCACAAACTCTCTTTCATAACAATCTTTAAAGATTGACTAAAGTGAAGATGAAAACCAAACAAAATAACTCTCTGCAGGTAATTGAACAAAATCCTTTAATCTATTGTAGTTTATATTCCAAAGTGAAACTTTGTTTCTAATTTTCTTTTATCAACTTTTTTTGTGTTTGGTTGGAAGTTTTGTTGATTGGTTTGGATTTAAAAAGTGATGATTTCATTTGAAAATTAAATTTTCTATCTTAGTTATCTGCATATTTACTTTTAATTAATTTCAACAATACATGCTAATTATGAATATTTTATACATGTGCAAATTATTTTTTTTTTCAATTGAATTACACTAGTGCTTTGAATGTAGCTAGTTAAAATGAATGAATTAATTATTATCATTTTTTTTTTATGTATTTTAACATATGGGTGGTAATGAGTTGCCAAGAAATGATGAGACTGTAAGTGGGTTTAATGAGTCAAACCAACTACAATTTAACTTTTAGTGCTGGGCAAGACAATGTTGCTAGGTAGAAAGGGCATTAGAGGAATTAAGATAAAAATGTGAAGTTTTCCATTAAGTTTTAACGGCAAAAATGTCTTGTTACTCTTATTTCAAAACACAAGTCTTTAAGTGCACATTTTGATACCATAAGTCTTTAAATGCACTCACCATAAATCACAGGTAGGTTAAGTGTAATTTCTCCTAATTTATTCTGTTCTTTATTATTTTCAACAATTGCTGACCAGTAAAGACGCCATATTATCGTGAAATTTTATAGATACTTTGTTTTTATTTGATTTTAAGTTACATAATCAAAGAAGACAATTCTCTCTCTCTCTTTCTCTCTCTCTCTCTTTTTTAATCTATTTTACTTATATATTCATAACATAAATTTAAAACTTTTTATTTTAATTAGAAGAAATATTATTACTAAATTATTTAAGTCATTGACTTCATAAGTACATAATTAACCTAAAACATCATAATTTAGCCATGACATTTTCTCACAAATTTTTTTTTGATGAACACATTTCCTTGCAATTTTGTTAACCCTTAGTTGTATAACAGAAAACAACACTCCTTTATCCCTATATTATTTTTATTGAAAAGATATTATTGAGCCATATTAATTCACAAACTCAATAAAATAGAAAAAAGTTAATAATCAAATAACATATGGAAGTTGTAGAAAAAATTTTAAAAAAATTGTGGTGAAATAATTTTTGCACCTAAGAACAATATTTGGATTAGGTGTTGGACTATAGGTACAACTATTGATTTTTTAGTCTTTTAACACCCTAAAAATACATAACATATATTTAATATTTATTTTGATTAATATTTTATACATTTTTAAAATAATAAAAAAATATAAAAACCAAAAAATAAATTATTGAGAAGTTTTATCAAATGAAATCTTAAACTTATTATTTTGCCTGTAAATGAAGGGAGACGATCCTCAGTTTTCGCCCTCAGACCTCAACACTTCGCCAGGAATAGAACGGACATTTATTGAGCAGCAAACCTTATATTAAGAAGATTGCGTGCATTTTCTCACAAAATCTTCAATCTTTTAATGCGTTTACTCTTTGGGCGGGGCAAGTAAACTTTCTAAGCATTTTAAAGGCGCCATAACCTCAATTTCCTAGGCATTGTCGAAATATTTATGTAATAACAAAACCTGTATGCTGCACGTGGACAGCCTAGCTAAATAATAAATACTTCTCTCTATTTCAAAATATAAGTAATTGAATTTTTTTACACATAATTTTAGGTAATACATTTTTATTGTATATGAATGATGATTGAGATTTAAAAAAAAAAAATTGATATGTATTTCTTGGCGAATGATTCCTAATATTAGATAATATCCTCCTTATACATGGCATGACCCAATTGATCCACACGAACTTAGGTCAAAGTTTGCACAATCTTGGGAATCCCTCAGGTTTGACATGAAAAGCTCCTTTGAAGAAACTTGGTCGAGCTAAACTTAATGGTAGCTATCAAGGTCTCACTCAGGAACACCTTAGATGAAATTTATGGAGCTAGTTTGGTTGACTTAAGTAACGGTGACTAAGTTAACTAAAGCGCACTTAAGATGTAAAACTTGGTCACCAAAACAAAGGGAATAAAGAACAATAAGACCCACACAAAGTTAACCTTGACCCGCACTTGAAGGCAGCCCCACATCTATGTCAGCACTTGCATAAATCATTATCTTTTCTCCACTAGAATATTACTCATTTAAGCATTGAAATGCATACAAATAATGAGCCTTTCTTTTGCTCGCGCGCAGATTAGGTTTTTGAAAAAACATTATAGCTCTGCATTTGCCCAACAAGCACCAATGAACGCGCGTAAACTTGAATTTGCCCTTGATAGCAATTTTTTGATTATTAGTTTCATTTAATAAAAAAATTTTAATTATCATTTATATATTATAAAAAATATTACCTAAATATATGTGAAAAGCAAAAAAATCAAAGGCCTTAATTATAATTTGATAAGGAGGGAGTAAACAGGAATGAATAAGAAGGCCAAAGAAACTCGAAAACTTACAAAATACATAGAAGAAGAAAAGAAAATGTCCCACGCAAGTTAATTAATTATAACATAAGTACTCAATAGGCATTAGTGATTAGTTTAGACTCCACAGACCATTAGTGATTAGTGTAGACTCCACAAACTCAAAATCGAAGCTGCTTGAGCCTAATTCCATCAATGGATTTTCACAAGCGACTGCCTTCTGCCGATCATGAATGTTCACCTGCGTTATTGCTCCATTTCTTGTGCACTCGTTGCCCCAACAGTAGTACTCTCTTTGTCCTCCCAACCCTGACAATGATGGTTCATGGAATGGAGTGAAGGAAATTGGCATTGACTGTGGAGTTTGTTCTTGAGTTGTCCAAATGGTATCAGGGTTTTGGTATTCACAGGTCGATGAAGCAACTGAAATTTCATGCATTGATGATAAAGACTGTGAATTCCAGGTGGACATAGGTTTGGTGTAATTGTTGTTAAAGTTCTGATATTTGCCTGGGGAAATGAGGTTATGAGTTTGGGGATCTATCCCCTGCGCAATAAGCTTCTTCTTAATGCATGAGTTCCAAAAATTCTTCACCTCGTTGTCTGTCCTCCCTGGCAGGTGCTTAGCTATCTGAGCCCATCTATTGCCCAGAATTCGATGAACGTCGATGATTATCTTCTCTTCTTGCTCGGTAAAGGAACCCCTTTTGAGATCCGGTCTCAAATAGTTTATCCATCTCAGTCTGCAACTCTTACCACACCTCTGTAACCCTGCAAAACAACCCATTAATTTAGACTCAAGGATGAAGGATTCAGATGATGAAGACGATGGAAGCACAATACATACCAGCTAATCTTGGAAGAGAACTCCAAGAACCATGGCCATGGGTGGTTATGTATCTGATGAGTTTCTCATCTTCTTCAGGAGACCAGAGGCCTCTCTTCACTTTCTGTTTGTTGCAGCAGTTATGACCCATTGCGCCCTCAACATTTGGTGTGGCATGAGTGGTTTATATCTGTTGCTTCAATTAGAAAAGTTGTAACATACTCTGCGCTTGATTAGCATACAGATGTGTATTCTAAATTTAGCTATATGGTATACGTGTGTATGATGGAGAGACAGGAAATTTAACTTGGGGTTTACTCATGAAAGGGCCACAAGTGTCTCATTGAGTGTGTTGGTAGATTTCAACTTTTGTCTTCTGACATGTGTTCTAATTATTTTAGCAACGTACGAAAATCTTCTTACTAATTATTTAGTTTTTGGTAAGTGTAATTGATTAATTGCTTAATCTCAAGAACCATAAAATCAATGACTTTCTAGAAACAACTTTATTACCCTTATGTAACCGAGGCAAGGGGGGCGTCATGCATTTATATAAAAAGAGGTGAGAATGATGAAGGATAGAAGATGATGTTAAAGAGGGTCACATTTAGGGGGGAAGACCTCATGATTCAAAGAGAATCCATCATTTGTTCCAAATTCAACCATATATAGGACATTCAAAAGCTAACTCATCAATTCATTGTTTCTATTTCAAATGAAAGTAAAAAGAAGTGCTAGTTATACTCCCTTCAATACTTTACACAAATAGTTTGGTTAGAACATCCTCTCTACATTATATTATTTGATAAGAGTTTAAAATTTTGAAGTGGTAGAGAAAGATTTGCGAAATAAAAAAAGTCACCTCATGTTATATAATTTTTTTTAAAAGCCTTATTTTTTATAATTTATTCATCAAATGTATAATAAAAAAAATCATATAAACATGAACCAATATTAGAAAAATGCATTACATAGGACTAAACACGGAGTGTTTAAAGAAAAGTGCCAAAGAATTGAGATAAGAGCGCAAAAAAGTGTTGCTACCATTGGTCAACAAGTTATTGTTTAAAATTTTAGGGATTTGGATCATTAGTATTGATTTTAGAATTAAAAATTTAAAATTATATGGTTTCAATTTGATTGAATTGTAATTCAATCAATGTTAATATTGAAATCTATTAGTAAATAAGTATTGTATTGTAAGTTAAATTTAAAGTTTAAATCTTAAAAAAAATTAAAATTTTTTAAAAGTATTAAATTAATATAAAGATTTATATACACACAAACTGATTCAAAAATACCAAAACTATTAGAAATAAAAATCAATTCAATCTATGTATACTACTATTGGTATATCCACTACATGAGAAAAGTGAAAGACAGGGAGCCAATACATAGCTCACCCTTTCTTCACTCAACCGTTGCCTTGAGGTTGGGGGTGCCAATTTCTTGGTTTCAACGACGATGATGATGATGATTGGATGAGTCTGCTTTCATGACTTGTCAACCTCTTTTCTTTTTGTTATTTTTTGAGGAGGAAATCACGTAGAAAAGCTAACAGTTTTTATATACTAGTAATTAAAATAACATGTAATCGCAAATTTCTATAATGTCAATTATCTTCTTGGGTTTTCATCTCAATTAAATCACTTCACTAGTATTACAAATTGAGTACTGAAAATTCGATGGCAACATCTAAACAAATTTCCTCAATATTTCTAGCATATTGTTATTCTTGAATCTTGATGGAGTGAAGTCCAAATGTCAGAGATGGCATGTTTCTCCCTTCACCCCCTACCCCAAAAAAAACAGAACATGTTTCTTCCCAAGATAAGGTGATCGAGTGGTGCATTTAATTTCTTCAAGTTAATTTAGTGAAGCTTTTTGCCTAATGTTGAGGAAAGTGGGGGACACCAGCGTTAAATGTGGGTAATAATGAGTAAGATTGATGATGGAATGGACCACCACCCCCCATTTCCATTTTTGCCTGCATAAACTAATAGTATTACCGACAATTTCATCATTATATGTATCTCCCGAGTATCGATTTTTAATAATCAAAAGTTGAACAAACTTGATTAGCCCCACTTCTCAAGGTATCACTGTCTAAATATGCAACTTGTTTTACTCGTGTCATGTAGGAACAGATATTCATACAAATTGCGATGTTAACTAACTCATTATTTGAGTCAATTAGTGTTAAAAAATGGATAAAAAGTTTAAGATTGTAAGTTAAAATTTCAACTTTAAATATTGAGAGAAATTATAAGTAATTTTATGAAAGTAAAAAAGTTATGAGTAATTTTATAAAATTGAAAGTCATCTTCAAAAGTTTCTTTAATTTACTTGATCATCAAGTTTAGCTTGCATGGGTTTCTTTTTTGGTACTCCATCAGTTCATTTTTTGTAAATTTAGTTTAATTTTTTTTAAAATATAAATTTCACATAAAAATTTAACATATTATATAAATAATAATCAAAATTTTGTTTTAATCAAATAAAAATACTTAGTAAGAACTTTATATAAAGAGAAAAAATTTTCAA